CGTCATGCGTCACATTAATTGCGTCACTATAAAAATTTTAAATAATTGCGTCAACTATAAAATAATTTTAGCCACATGTATACATTACACCTTCCCACCTACATAGCTGATATAGTAGAGAGGTCTCGATATTTTAATGGTTTCCTAATAAATGCTCCAGTTTTGATTACTAATTGGCTTTAAGCTAAGAGATTAGATTATTACTGTAAACAAATTAGTATTAAATTTACTGAATCCATATGTGAAAGATATTGTTTCTTTCCATTATATATATCTTGCTATATACAATTAAATAAAAAAATAGTATTTACCTATATTAAAAAAAATAATAATAAATATTATATTAATATTATATCAGTATTATTTTCTAAGAATTAATAATAAAGTTAAATGAAATAACTTGAATTAATCTTTATAATAATATTTTATAATGTGTTCTTTTTATAAAAAATATAATAAAAATAAAATTATAAGTAAGATAGTTTAATTAATAAATAAATTTCATTTAATATATAAATTTTTTTATTTAAAAATCAGTTGTATAATTGAATAAGTCAATAAATAAATAATAGGAATTAACTTAAACAAATTTTTTATATAATAATAGTAATTTTTATAAATTAAATAAAGTCTACTTTAGTTATGTTATTATTTTTTAAATATAAAATAACTGTAAAAATTATTATTATTATTTATTTTTATTTAACAATTAATACAATCTAACAATTTTTTATTAATTAGTTTATAAATCAATTTTATTAATTGTTTATTGAATTATAAATAAAGATATAAAAACAATCTTTCCTATTTTTTGAATTGGACTGTGTATAATAATCATTTTATATTACATTATTAATATTAGTTGAATTTAATAAAATCGATTGATAAAAATTAATACTTTACAATTAATTATTTGAAAATTCTGACTTAACAATTTAATTGCATATCTAATAATATGTTGATATATAGAAATAACAATTGAATGAAATAAAGGAATAATCTATCGGCCTTTCAGGCGTGTGTACAAGGAAAACAAATTAATATAGGGTCTTCGCTATCAAATAAGGATATTTGGAAATTAATAAGAAATCCTTATTCCATCTTTTCGTTAATTTTACTATCTACATTCCAGTACATTATCATTTGCGCCACCAAAATCAAATTAAGTATCGATGTAAATACAAATCCTGACAAAATTATTAGATCATCCACCTCAGTAAGAGTAGTAAATATTCTCGCTAAAGATCCAAGTGCAAATCCAAACACTGCAAGCGCCGATAATTGCCCGGTGTTTCCATTTCGATAATTGGTGAGAATCTGCGGAATCTTTGATAACAAAGAGATGGGAATAGTCAATGTTTGAAGATATGCCAAATTAGCGTCGCTAATTAACCAAGCCTGGGTAAGAGTATATGCAGAGATTACTACTACTGCGGTGGTAGTGATGAGATCCTTGGTACGATTAGCATAGTATAAAATCAACAATAATATGATAATGTTTTGTACGGTTAAAAATGCAGATTCGCCGAAAGTGCTAAATGGATTGCCTTGACGAAGGTTGTAAGCGAACGAAATTCCCATGGCAGCAGTTTCCAAAACAAAACCTTCAAAACTTAGACCACGAGACGAACGCGCAGAAGTGATTTTAATGATTTGCGGGAGTTTTACCAATGCTCCGCCTAAGACAATACCAATTCCAAGGCCTTTAGATATCAGGAGTTTTATACAATCGACGTCTGTGACATTAAATTCTTCTACTAAAGAAGTATAACATTTTTCTCCTATCAGCTGAACTGCTGGATACTTGATTATATCCGGGAGTTGCATTTTGACTAAACTTTTTGTAGTAAACTCTAGAAAATTTCAGGTCGACTATTGAATAAAAGCAACAATCGCTGAATGAGGATGTCAAGATGGGAATCAAATAATTAGTATGTGTTATTAACTTGGAGAGAAACAATATAGCTTACCAACGAAGTATCCAAGGAAAAGGTTTCCAATCAATTGAAAATTTCCACAAATAAATAAACTTTAGATTCACTTTGGTGCAGTGTAACAGTTAGATGCATTGTACTCCGACGACAAATAAATGAACACGTATAGTGTGGTGCTAAAAAATTAAATTCTTATTTTATTTATTAATTATATTAATATAAAGAATAAATTTATATACAGTGATGGCAGAAAAAAATGTCACTTTTCTTTAATTTGTAAAAAATTATGAAGATTTTTTTTATTAAATTAATATTAATATTAATTAAAAATAAATTTATTAGTATATTTTAAAATAAAATAATATTTTTTTAATATTAATAGAATTATATATGATTTTATTTAATTTTATTATTTTTAAATTTAATTTTTTATCAAGCTCAAATATTAAAAATTCTATATATTTAAAATTTTATTAAATATTCTAAAAAAAAATTTATAGAAAATTCTATAACTCTATAAAATTCTATAACTCTATAAAATTCTATAACTTTATAAAATTCCAAATAAAAAATAATTGATTTTTTAAAAAAATTTTTTTTAAAATTTTTATTATTATATAAAAAATTATAAAATAGTTATTATTTTTTTATTTTAAAAAATATTTTAAATAATAAATTTATTATTATAAGATAGAGACTTTAAACTTATTTACAAATATTCAATAAAATTTTTTAATTATATATATATAAAAAAAAAAAACAATTAATTATATTTATAATTATTATAAATATTTTTTATAATGTTGCAAAATTTTAATTAAAAATATAATTTATTTTTATAAATATATTTATTAAAAAAATTTTTTTTGTTAATTATAAAATTAAGATTTTAAGCTATATTATAATTTAAAAAATTTTTTAATTTATTTAAATCTAAAAAAATATAGTATAAAACAAAAATAATTGAAAAAAATTAAATAATTAAAATAAAAATAAACATATATATATTGAAAATATAAAAAATATAAATATAAAAAATAGTTTTATAAATATATATATATATATATATTTTGAGAAGAAAACAAAATGATTATTGCTCTTTGCATTTTTATTATAAATTTTAGACTTTAAAAAGATTTACAATTTTTGTAAAATAATATATATCTCTTTAATTATAAGTAGAGTTAAATACAAAATTCAAAAATAATTTTCCATTTATATTCCTGTTACTATCCAAGAAATATAGTAAAAAGAATTTCAAAAACTATATCAAAACCTTAAATAGTAACTAGTTTTCTAAATATAATTTGATTATCTAAACATATGAAAGTACTGTAGTCATTTTTTTACAGATTGGCTTCCATATCATAGTTAAGATTAATACACTTGCTTTTCAAATATGACTTGATATATAACAAGTGAAATCAATGATAATATTATTATCAGATTTGATAAGTTAATATATAAAGATACTACAATCATACATGTGGTCGTATTTCAATGGAACTATTCCAATAGGATATCGTATTAATAATTAGGAATACGATAAAAAATATTGAAAAGCAATAT